GTCTCCTGCACTACGGGCAGCTTCTTTACTGACTGGGCTATGAGGGAAGGCCACTGGGCCAATAGGGAAGTCCTCAAATGCTACCACTTTATGGTGCTCCCTTCTAAACTACACACTTCTATTAAACATTCTTAGTGTTGATAAAGAAGATCATGTGATAAAGTGCATAAAGTGATGACTGCATGTTAGCTGTGGTCTTTGCTATCACCATGGTGAACTGCCGACATTAATTACATTTTTATGTGTAGCATACAAACTGCACATTTTCTGACTGCAGCACCAACCCAGATGCTGACCACTCTTCAGTCATGAGTAACAGACAGAAGGCAGCAGAATCTCATCCCTCCAGGAGGCAGGGCTGGAGCATAGGACAGGGGGCACCTCATCACCCCTTGTTCTTCAGGAAAGTGAGGACTGGTCAGGCTTCAGGGCAACTAATCCCCAGCACCACAGCCAACTAACCCCTCCCCCCCACCAACCGCTCCAGGGTCTGAATGCTGCAACAAAAGTTTCTGTTTGCCAGGACTAAGATCCAAGACCTGATGAAGCCAAGTAAACAAATATTAAAAAAAAAAAAAAAAACTGCCCAAGTGAAATAGCAGTTGGGGACTTGAGAGGCACAGGGGTGCTCTCCAACACAGGTATTCACTGGGTTATCCCTAACTTCCCGTTAACTATTGAAATGCAAGGACCAAAATTTTAATTCGGCTACAAGCAAGGATATTGGAGCTTTTCTCAGTCTGCTTAGAAATATGTTTTGGAACTGATAAAAAGTGATACACAAATAACATGTGATGATCTGGACGTGGTCATCACAGTTGTGTTACATAGTCTCTTTAAAATGGGGACACATTTAGGATAATGTCTGGTGTAAGCTCATATTACATAATTATTGTAGGTGTAGGGAATATGTGTTTACAATAAAGATAATAACAAAGATAACAGCTAAAAATTAGTTAGACTGTATTAATATTAAATTCAGACACTGGGGTAAGTAGCTTTCCATGCACAAGTCATGACTTTTTCCATACAAGTATCTGAAATAAGTGACTATATGTACTTTACAGACATAGAAACTGAGACTTAAGAGGTTTACCAACACTTGCAAGTCAATGTAGATAACAAGAGAGATAAAATCCACATTCATATCCCAAATATCTGTTGTTAGAGCCTTAGAAATGAATCACTATGTTATTCTGATCAACAATACAGCCTCTTACAAGGCTGCATCTGTCAAGCACTGAGCATCTATCTGGATCTCCATATAGATGTGGGGTTATTTTTGAAAAATGAGGAAGTCGCAAAATCCCCTGAAAGAAGAACAAGCATTATGCTAAGGACTTCACAGAAGTTCTAAAGGTTATTTCAGACTGGTTCTGATCACTTCCTTCTATTCTGACAAAAAAGTATGCTTCTGGAACCATAGTAATAGAAGAGCTGGAGAAGGAGATGGCTTGGCAATTTTAAAAAAGCAGAAAATACTAGTTTTGGTTTTTAACCTAAAGGGATGTGAAGTTCTCTAGACTTGACAGATATGGGTCTTGGCTCCCTACCTTCCTACATTTGCAGATGACAAATGTGTCCTAGTGGGCTGATCTGGCTCCTCAAGACTTTCCAGTCTCTCCCTCTCTTGTTCTTAATTTTTTAAGCAAGAATATACATGGAAAGGTGAGGTACGTCATATGCTGGGTTTGCTTGAGGAGCTAGAATTTGATACCTGTCACTGTAATGACAGTTAACTTTCCAGCTGATGGGCAATAGAGGTGAGAAGACTGTTCACTCTACTATATGCTGAAGCAACCAGGAGTCTGCTATAAAAAGGCAGCTTCTAAGGAGTATGAGTCCCAGAAAATCTGGATAAGAAGAGGACCTCTAGGCAGCAAACGAGCAGGCATTGTGTGTGTGTGTGTTTACTGTACATTCCTCAGGCCCTCTCTCAAGAGCTATATTCCCCTAGCTGCTGGGAATATTGGCTGCTGGCTGATGAAACTCAAGGCTGATCTCGCTCTTGGAATCTCTATTGGGAATTACCCTCCAGCAGTGGGAGCCGCCTCATCCCCAAGATTACTTAGCCCCTCCCCGAGGACAGCTCAGATGTAATGTCTGCAAAAGAAACATAAGGCCTTCTTGGTGACAAACTCCAAAGGGCCATCCCAACCTCTGAGCACCCACTGGCTCCCTTCCCCTCTGCCAGTCCCCAGTCCTCCCCACTCCTGGAGATAGAGGAGTGCACTTTCTTCAATCATCTCCCAAGATCACAAAAGCACAAAAGTTGGGATTCAAGCCCAAATCCATTTGACTCTCAGCTCTGCGTTTCCATCAACTTTAAGAAGCCCTTGACTTTGATTTACAAAACACAAAGACTTACAGCTTAGCAAGACATGCGAAGTGGAGCTAGTGGTAAAGAACGTGCCCGCCAACATGAAAGATGTAAGAGACCTGGATCCAATCCCTGGGTCAGGAAGCTCCCCTGGAGGAGGGCAGGGCAACCCACTCCAGTAGTCTTGCCTGGAGAATCCATGGACAGGAGCCTGGTGGGCTATGGTCCATAGAGTCACAAAGAATCGGGTGCAATAGAAGCGACTTAGCACGCACGCACGTCCTTTCTAGCCTCACACATCTCACTCCCATACAATCTCTCAGCAAACTCTTTCCTCTTCCTGAACATGTCATGCTTCTGCTTTCCCTGGAACAGTTCACTGTCCTCATCTGCTTGATGACCATCTCCTTCTCCTGCCGGTTTGTCTGCAGGGGTTTCCTCCACTGTGAAGAATTTCCTGGCCCCTCAGGAAGGTTAGGGATTCCCAGGTGGCTCAGTGGTAAAGAATCCTCCTGCAATCCTGGAGATGCAAGAGATGTGGGTTCGGCCCCTGGGTTGGGAAGACTCCCTGAAGGGAATGGCAACACACTTTGGTATCCTTGCCTGGAGAATTCCATGGACAGAGGAGCCTGGCTGGCTATATTCCATGGGGTCGCAAATAGTAGGACACAACTGAGCACATGTGCGCACACACGCGCGCACACACACACACACACACACACACACAGAGTAAGGTTAAGATCTCCATCCTTCAAGTTTCTAGAGCAGGTTGTATGTTCCCTAATCGTAGTGACTGTTAATTTTTTTAAGTGATTTTGTGCAGGCAGGAATGTCTTATAACTCTGCTTCCCAGCCTGGCATTTAAAGATGCTTTGTAGAATGGATGAATAAATGAACTCAGCTGAGTTGCTGGTCCCAGAGGCCCGGACTGAAAGGTTGCCAGCATCCCTGTGACTTGGAAGCATTATACAGCATCATACAAATTTGGATAAACTATGACCTCCTTGAGCATGAAGACTAGTTTTTCTTTACTGAAGTAGCCTTTCCAAGACCTGACACCATCTCCCACTCATAGACGATAAGATCCAAAAAGCCCACTGAGCCAAATGAAGACTTAGCAGAAAGGACTGGCATCCCAGAAAATTACTTCACTTTCCTGGGTCAGTCCAAACTATTTTTTTAAAACTTCTGTTTTAAAGATACGCAAGATATTTCTCTGTTTTCTTAATAGGCTCTTAATTTCCAAATTTCAAAAAATTTCTCCTTTGTTTGAAACATGCTTCTCTCTATTTAACAGAGCAAAAGACAACTTCAAGTTTGCTAAATTCCAGTTCTAGGTTGGGAATCAAATCTAATGAGGAGATATCAAACATGATTAAGAAGTTTCCCAGCTGGCCTGCACAGCGCTATATCACTGTCCTTTGAGACATAAATATACTTTTAATCTACAAGGTGCTTTTCCCCCCACTTTCTGAAACTAAGACTTACTGAATAGAGGTACAGATATTAGTACAGACACCAAACACCCCAAGTATGATGCTGAGGATGTGGGAGAGAACCACTGTCCTATAAACATAAAAACTGAAAGTCAGTTTTCTTGGGCAAGTAGCTGCCTTCTCTACACAGGAAATGGTCCAATTTTGTTAATGCTCTCAACAAAGATGTCCAAACAATAACAGCAGCAACAAACTGCTGAGAGTTGGCTGAGACGGGTAACAATGATAACAAGTCTTAAAAACCCAGCTCCTTTTTTTTTTAAGCGGATTTGGGAAGGAGGAACCTCTCTGCCATGTAAGGGACTGAATTTCCATGCCCCGTGGAATTTTTTTTCTTGTCAGTCTCTCACAGCCTCCGTGGCTAGCCTGCTGGGAGTGAGAAAAACCGTGATAGTGTTTTCCCAAGAGAGCACCACATCTGGTTATCTTCTTCTTCACAAGTCTCTGATCATGTGTGAGCCTAAAACCCAGTTCTTAAGGTTTTTCCTCTCTGGTCTGTTTTTTAACCTCAGGAAGTCTGTTCCTAAAGACAGAGGTGCAATTGGCAAGTACATCTCATTTCAAAATCCTGCTTACATCCTTCAGGTCACAGATGTGGTGCCTTACAACTCTACGAGTGTGCCTGCTCAACTTTTTATTCTGTGTCTTTTTTTTTTTTTTTTTTTATTGGTCTTGCTTAATCTCACAAGACCTCCAAAAATTGTTTGGTGGTGTGCGGTTTCCTTTCTTGCCTCTACTTGAGCTCAGTCTCCGGCTGTTGCCGTGCAGACTAACTCATGTAGAGGCAAGAAAGGCGGCTCAAATGTCTTTAAAATATCTGTTGTGTGTATGTGTGTATGTTAGTCACTCAGTCATGTCTGACCCTTTCTGACCCCATGGACTGTAGCCCGCCAGGCTCCTCTGTCCATGGGATTCTCCAGGCAAGAACACTGGAGTGGGTTGCCACGCCCTCCTCCAGGGGATCTTCCCCACCCAGGGATCGAAGCCAGGTCTCCCACACTGCAGGCAGATTCTTTACTGTCTGAGCCACCAAGGAAATCCAAAATATCTGTTTGCTTATTTTTTTTTGAACCTAATCTCTACTGAATACCACTAAGTATTTAAGGCACCAGACCCTACCCAGTCTTGGTTATGGGCTCAGTGGGCATAGGGAAGCACACTCTGGTGGGACAGATGGAAGGTACCTTTTTAAACATCCTGGTGGAATCCTCACTTATCTGCATGAACCGCATAATCACATTGTTCAGATAGATGTCACTCAAGGTGGCGTGGTCTTTGCTTTCTCGCCTCACTTGGTTCAGGAGCAAATACCAGCAGTTCACTGGAGACAACAAGTTCTGGTCTTTCCTAAGAAGTGAAGAAAAGAGAATTAGAATCAAGTTCAAAGCTGCTCCAAACAGCTGAGGGAAGTCACCGAGGCAAAACTAGGAGCCGCAACACACGGGCGGCTCTTGTTTCTTCTCCTCTGGGCGTAGCTCTTAGCAAGACACTCGACAGCCCTGGGCTTGGAAAAAAATACTTGGACCAGGAACACCAGTCAAAAGCTACACTCCTGACAAGGGCCCAGAACCCGGACGCACTCACAGTACTCAGGCAGGCCTTCAGCTTTAATCACCTCATTGAAGAAAGCCGTTTACATTTACATAAAAATCGACTGACTACCATCTCACAGGCTGCGGTTTGCCACTGAACACAAAGCCTGCTTTGAATGTCCAGTGTGCTGCTCGAAGAGATCTGCCTAGGTATACTTTTCATGGGACACAAATGCGAGAATGATTTACTAATCCCCTGATACTTAACCTCCACCCTCCCAAAAAGTGTTCCTGGGAAACAGAACTTTATAGCATTGTCTCAAGACTCATGAATAGAACCAAGAGGTTCACTGGCTTATGACTTGTCACATGTCCTTTTAAAGCTCATTAAGCTATTTCCTTGTTTTATTCTAGATAATAAAGTGAAAAGTGAATATAAACCACAAGAGGCAGCTTGCAAAAAATCTTACCAAAAAACTCCAAAGAAAAGCAATGACTAACAGAAACATCACCGCTTTAAAAAATATATATATGATGTTTGCTTTTTGCTTTTTACTTAAAAAATCTAACTATTGGAATTTCCTTGACTGTCCAGTGGTTAAGACTCTGTATTTCCAAAGCATGGATTGTGGGTTTGATCCCTGGTCAGGGAACTAAGATCCTACATGACGTGTGGCATGGCCAAAATAAAAAAAAATTATATTAAAAAAAAAAAAACAAAACTAACTCTAAAATGGCAAAATGGCACAGAATGTTTATCCTAACTTAGAGACATGAGTTCAATTTTCTAAGACATGTTAACCTCCTCCTAGTCATGATGATTTATGATTCTGAGTATTAACTAAATTAGAAAAGAAATGATTAAATCAGGTCTTTCAGTCCTTAAGTCCCTCAGAGTCAGGATTTAAGAGTGCATCAAGTCAAAACTCTCTTTAGAAGAAAGAGGAAGTAGGAATGGGTGTAAGGGTAGAAACCCCTGATCTAGGGTCCTGGCACTTATAACCACCTAGCTGGCGTAATAAGAATTACACCCCAACCCAGAGAACCTTCTTTTCCCTCCAAAGCCATTGGGCATGGGGCAGAGGTTCCATGGCAGAAAGAATACTGAACTCTTTGTACTGACATTCTCTACCACCCAGCCCAAAAGGTAAATGCTACCTTACATTAACTTACCTATATACTCTTTATGCTGAAGTAAGTCATACATTCTTTGAGAATGTGGCATACTTTTTTTGTATCCTCACGGCCCTGCCCATGTTCAGCATTAAATACATGTTTTTTCATTCACTGAATAAACATTTTTTATGGTCCTAATAGTAAGTAATAACAGTGTTGACAACAACATCAGAGGCGGCTAAGTTACCATTTACTGAGCACCTACTGGGACTTCCCTGGTAGCTCAGACGGTAAAGCATCTGCCTACAATTCGGGAGACCCAGGTTCAATCCCTGGGTTGGGAAGATCTCCTGGAGAAGGAAATGGCAACTCACTCCAGTACTCTTGCCTGGAAAATCCCATAGATGGAGGAGCCAAGTAGGCTACAGTCCATGGGGTCACAAAGAGCTGGACACGACTGAGCGATTTCACTTTCACTGAGTACACAGGTCAAGTTCATGGAATATGGGTCTAAACTGTCTCCACTCCAAATTCAAAAATCAGTACATACTAGCTAGGAGATCGTGGCCAAGTTATTTAAACTTCTCTGTGCCTCTGTTGCTTCATTTATAAAGTGGGTAAAGTAGCAGTACTGATTTTATAAGATTATGAGGAGTTTTGAGTTTATATATATATATATTAATGTTTACTAGAATGCCTTAGATTCATAGAAACTGCTGTATAAAGTTGGGATCTTCTTGATGGCTCAGATGGTAAAGAATCTGCCTGCAGTGCAGGAGACCTGAGTTCAGTCCCTGGGTAGGGAAGATACCCACTCCAGTATTCTTGCCTGGAGAATTCCATGGACAGAGGAGCCTGGCTGGCTATAGTCCATGGGGTTGCAAAGAGTCAAACACAACTGGGCGACTAACATTATACTATATAAAGTTAGTGATTTTTATCCAGCAGTTGGTCTAAAACCTATACACATTAACTACTTAATTCCACAGTTTAAGGCAGAGATATTTAGATAGATCCCCTCTATCAACGAGGGAACTTAAGCTTTAGCAAGGCACAGTGATTTGTTCAAGAACAAAACTAGTATCAGAGAAAGTCTTTGAGTCCATGGAGGCTGATCCAAGCCTTGGTATTTCCACCATGCAGCGGTCAATTCAGGCCAAGGACCATCCTACAGGACAAGCATCCCAAAACTTTGTAAGAGCTAGACTCCTCAGCCTAGCTTAAATGACTGGTAAAGTAACAATGCCAAAGATGTAACATTTGTTTCGTGAGGAGAAGGAATATTGAATGTGTACCTGATGTCAGCTCTCAGTCACATCAAGGATTTGTCATGTTTCATCTGATGGTCACAAAATCTCATTTTACAAGTTAGGAAACCAAGGCTCAGAAATACTGACTCTACTGACCAAGGTCACACAGCAGAGCTAGTATTCAAGCCAGGTCTGTTTGACTCTTTCTTAAAGCTTGTCTTTGGCTTTTGTCCCCCAAACCTGGTTTGCCCTTTCTGTAGACTTCTTATCTGCAGTCCCATAGTCAATAATAAACTTAAGGAAAATTCCAAGCCTCATACCTTTTTAAGAAAACTAGTGAACCAACCAGGAGAAAGAAAAAGTGGCAGCTGATGCACTCAGGGATTAGACTAAAGTGCATACACCCATGCTTGTTTTCAGTTCACAAGTTGATTCCCAAGTACAGAACACACAAGCAGACACTCAAAAATATTTACTGTATAAACCAATGGGCTGTCCTCTTATTTGCAATTACTTTTAAAAAGGGACAGTTTCTATAAATGCAGATCTAGTACTGGCTCCAGTCTCTGTCAAGCACATGTGACATCTGCTCACCCTGGGAACCATCATCAAAATTTATTTCTCTGCTGGACCAACACTACAGATTAAAGTGAGCACAAAATAAAAACTAAAAAAGGCATTCCTGATCCAGAATAGTGCTGCATTTGCTTCTGCAAAAGAACCCCTACTTTTTTTTTTCTGCAAAAGTTCCTACTTTTTTTTTTCTTATGATGAGAAGAGTTAAAAAAGTTTTTTTTATTGAAATAGAGTTGATGTGCAATATTATGTAAGTTACAGGTATACACTTACAATATTATGTAAGTTACAGGTGTAAAGGTGTATATTAGTGATTCACAATTTTAAAAGGTTATACTCCATTTATAGTTACTATAAAATATTGGCTATATTCCATGTTATACAATATATCTTTATAACTTTTAAAATACATAATACTTCATACATTTTTATCTCCTATCCTCATGTTGTCCTTCTCCCCACTGGTAATCACTAATTTGTCATCTATGTGTGTGAATCTGCTTCTTCCTTGTTATCTTCACTAGTTTGTTGTGTTTTTTAGATTCCACATATAAGTGATATCATACAGTATTTGTCGGCATTTATCATACAGCATCTGTCTGACTTATTTCACTTAGCATAATACACTCTAAGTCTATACATGTTGCCGCAAATGGAAATACTTCATTCTTTTTTTTATGACTGAGTAGTATCCCATTGTGTGAACACAGCTGCTTTATCCATTCATGGACATAGGTTGTTTTCATTCCTTGGCAGTTGTAAATAATTGGGATGCATGTATCTTTTCAAATTAGTGTTTTTGTTTTTTTGGATATATACCCAAGAGTAGAACTGCCAAAGACGACACACAGATGGCGAACAGGCACATGGAAAGGTGCTCAACAGCATTCAGGGAAATGCAAATCAAAACCGCAATGAAATATATTACCTCACACTTGCCATGATGGCCATCGTCAAGAACACAAACAGCAAATATTAGAATGAATGTGGAGGAGAGGGAACCCTCCCACAAGGTCAGTGGGAATATAAATTGGTGTAGCCACTGTGAAAAACAGTATGGAGGTTTTTTTTTTTTTTTTAAAAAAAGCTATCCTACTTTTTATGTAGGCTCCAAGGCCACAAAAGAGTATAAAATAAAACTGCAAAGCCAATGGTGAAGACTGATATGTGCTTTTCTGCAACCTCCTACCACTTGGAGCCCAGGAGCACTTGGGCTTCCTTATTGTCCTGTGTGTGTGTCGGGGTGGGGTGGTGGGGGTGTGGAGGTGGATGTGAGTGATTTTCTTTTTTTAAAAAATTTTCTGTAAAATAAATAAGTAAAATTAAAAAAAATTTTGTCTTGAGGTATAGCCGATTAACAATGTTATGACAGTTTCAAGTGAACAGCAAAGGGACATAGAAATACATGTATCCATTCCCCCTCAAACTCATAGAAATACATGTATCCATTCCCCCTCCCATCCAGACTGCCACATAAAATTGGGCAGAGTTCCCTCTGCTCTATAATAGGTCCCTACTGGTTATCCAGTTTAAGTATAGCAGTGTGTACACGTCCATCCCAGACCCCCTAGCTATCCATGTGCCTCATCCATGTCATGTCCCACTCCACTATCTCACTGAGGCAGCAGTTCTGCTGCCCCTGGCTTCGGGCTGGGATCCTGTGCCATAGGATGGTGATGAGCAAGTCCTCACGTCCAGCTCCCTACCTTGCACAGGCCTCCTCTTCTGTCCCCATGTGGGATACAATCACCACTCAAGTTTTCAGTTCCCTTTTTCTTTCTGGGCCACTGGAAATTTCCCCTACTTTCCTGTGAGTTCAGTTATAGATTTACAATGATGTCTATTATACTTTTGTCAGCACTTCCAGGAGTTTTGTAGCAGAAATATTTCTCATATTATCTAGTTGTTTTTCCAGAAATGAAAGACTGGGCTGCCTTTTTAACATCTCCTAAACGATTCTATTTCTACCTGCAGTGTGGCTAGTTCATGCCATCATGGTGAAGGCCTTCTGCCTGGTCTCCCTCCAGACTATGACCTTGTCCTCCTTCAGCCCACAATCCTATCTACAGTTTTCATTTCAAGATGCAGGTCTGAGCTGGTCATCCTTCAACTTTAAAAGCCTCTACAAAGGCTTCTCAAGCCAAGAGGATAAAGCCCAGACTTCCTGGTGTGGTCTACAGGCCTCTGTGATCAGGCACAACGTACATGGGGAGCCACGTGGCTCACTACCTCATTACTTACGCCCACTGGATTGCTTCCTGCTCTGCAAAGCTGCCCTGCCCCCCTTCCCTCTGGCCCCTTATGCGCGATGTTCCCTTTGCTTGAATGTCCTGCTCTGGGCCCTTACCTGGCTAACAAGTCCTTCAGGTCTTCACTTACATATCATTTCTTCCAGGACCTTGCCTGGTCCTTCCCGACCCCACCTCCACGACAGAATGGATTGCCATCTGGTCTCTCTGGTAGCTCGCACTGACATCTTTCAGACCACCTGTATATTCTGTTGGAGTTGTTTGCCGACTTGCCTCCGGATTTAAATTCTAAAGTAAATCTCATTATCAGAAAAACTTGCATGTATTTTTTTTAAACAAATGAAGTACAACTGACCCCTGAACAACTCAGGTTGGAACTGTGCAGGTCTACTTACACGCAGATTTTTTTCAATAAATGTCATAGCCGTATTTTCATTTTACATCATCTTTAAATTAACTAGGTACAGGGAATAGTTTCTGTTCAATGAGAGATCACAATATGTAGAACTTGGGTCTGAGCCCTGAATCTATCCATAACGGTTCCGCTTCCTGCCTTTGGGCGAGTCATTCCCAATTCCTTTGTTTTTGAGGCAGAGATACAGTAAACTGACTTTTGACTGAGCAGGGGGTTGGCAACCTAACCCTTGTGGTTGTTCAAGGGTCAACTGTCAATTAAGCTAGATTATCAGCATTTTATCAAAGGCCCTTGTTTTAAGTCAGTCTCTACTGCAACAACGACCACAAATACTACTGGGATGGGGTAGGAGAATGTAAATTTAAGCAACCCTCATTGGTTATTTTCATGTAAGATCACTACAAAAATCCTGAGCTCTCTGCATGAAGAATCAGCTATTTAAAATTTGCCTATCCAAATATCTATCTGCCAGTGTTAGAGTGAAGTCAGGAAGAGAAAAAACAAATGTCATACATTAACACATGTATGTGGAATCTAGAAAAATGGTACAGATGAACTTATTTGCAAAGCAGAATTAGAGTCACAGATGTAGGCAACAAACAAGGATACCAAGGGGAAGAGGGTGTGGGATGGATTGGGAGATTGGGATTGGCATATATACACTATTGATGCTATGTATAAAATGGATATCTAACAAGAACCTGCTATACAGCACAGGGAACTCTAAGTGCTCCCTGGTGACCTAAACGGGAAGGAAATCCAAAGAAGAGGGGCTGTATGTATATCGGTGGCTGATTCATTTTGCTGTATAGAAAAAACTATCACAACATCCTAAAGCATTTATATTCCAGTTAGAAAAAAATTGGCTTGGATCACAAAAACAAACAAAACCAAATATCTACCTGTGTTAGCCATCAACTCCTAGTGTATTTATTGGAAAGAGAAACACATCAAGAGAATAGTATTAGTTTAATATGTAATACACTTATGTTCATAAATTATAAATGCAGAAGGTTGCTTTTATCTATGGGGATATATCAATCAACAATGTTTCAGACAAAAAGTGGAAAATTCTAAAACCAATAAAGGGCTTCCATTGTGGCTCAGCTGGTAAAGAATCTACCTGCAATGCAAGAGACCGGGGTTCAATCCCTGGGTTGGGAAGATCCCCTGGAGGAGGGAAAGGCTACCCAGTCCAGTATTCTGGCCTGGAGAATTCCATGGACTGTATAGAAGACAGGATATTCTCTTGGAAAGATGAGTTTGAGTCGAGTCTCTCTTACTTGTACTGTTGATGATCCTTAGTGCTTCTTGTTTTGGCCATGAATCTTTCTGCTAACTTTTCGAGGTTCCGAGAATAATCAGTCTCAATTTCAGCTTTTTTCCGGAAGAAATCTTGCAGGTCCTGCAGAAGCTGAACTCTCATCTCTGTCTGCTGCTCCAGGCATTTCTGTTGTTCTACCAGTTGAGCTCGAATTTCTAAGGAGAGAAGAAGAGAACCCATTTGATGATTTCATGAAAATAACTGTTCTGGTATGTGCAAGATAAAAATACTGAATCCTATCATACATTTAGCTCTGCACCGGACCTTTATGAGGCTGCTGTGTTCAGGCTGGGTCTTTAAATAAAGATATCTGCTTACGAACTTATGGTTGCCAGGGGGGAAAGATCAGGGGAAGGGATAGGGAGTTTGTGATGGACATGTATACACAGCTATGTTTAAAATGGATAACCAACAAGGACCTACTGTAGAGCACATGGAACTCTGCTCAATATTATATGGCAGCCAGGAGGGGAGGGGAGTTGGAGGATGGATATACGTATGTGATTGGTTGAGTCCCTTTGCTGTTTGCCTTAAAATATCACAACACTGTTGATTGGCTAAGTGCTTCGTCGCTCAGCCCCGTCTGACTCTTTGTAACCCTAGGGACTGTGCCTGCCAGGCTCCTCTGTCCATGGGATTTCCCAGGCAAGAATACTGGAGTGGGTTGTCATGCCCTCCTCCGGGGGATCTTCCCAACACTGGGATTGAACCCAGGTCTCCTGCAATGCAGGCGGATTCTTTACAGTCTGAGTCATTGCGGAAGCCCGTTAATCATCTATATCCCAATAAAAAATACAAAGTTTTAAAAAAAAGATATCTGCTGACCCTTTAAAAGAATGAGCTAAGCCTCAGTAAAGAAAGTAATAAATTAGATTAGAAACATGGATTACATTTGCAACACCACAAACATGCCTGGAGTCATGAGGGGGAAAAAATTAAAGGCTTTCAGATAACAATTTGTAACACATGACATCTTTGGGTAGCTGAGGACATTGTAGTTTTTTAAAGTGTTTCACCTTAACTATCTTTTTTGAGTTTAAATGGCAAAGAAGTGAGCACCATTTCTTCCAGAATTCTGAACCTTCTCAACTTTGCCAGCTGGCACATACAAACACTGACATCTGGTAATTTTTATTTAGTGCATAAATTTCTAGTTTGTAAAACACATAGCTGTAGGGTTTATAGTAATGCCACGCCTAAAAATAATTTCTTTCTATATCCAAATAATCCACTCATTATGGGGTAATCCCTGGATTCTGCTTTATTATTTTGATCACAAGATCAAGACTCTTCACTTGGCTTTTCACATTTTCCACATTGTCCCAACTAACTAAGCTTTACCACATACATAATCCTGAAGAGAATCCTTTGACAAATATTAGGAACATGAACGTTAGTCATTTAGTGATTTAGTAGAAACACAAGAGCAAAAGTGTGTCATACAAAACTATCTGCAAATGACTGTAACAATGAACCATGTGTGTTTTGGAAAAGGAGATACAGTAACTAATAACTACTGACTTGTTTTTGTTCTGAGACTCAGGGCTAACCTCCAAAGACAAGAATATTCATACTGGAAAACTTCTTTATTTCATCTTTTCCAGTGTCAGTGCATATTCCCTAAAAGTGAGGGCTGAATCGAATTCAGTGGATTTAGTAGCAATCAATGTCCAAATAACACCTCCTCAACTGCACCCTATTCTTCAGTAACTGAGCTGACAATGCAAACGCACATACTTGACCATGTGTAACCAGGCTAATCCAATTCTGAATGAGGAATCAGGAAATCTACTCAACTCACTAATAGCTAATAATAATTGAATACTTACTGTTCTACACTCTACTGAAGTAGGTGCTAATATTATCCTCATTTTGCAAAGAAGAAACTGAGGTTTAATGAGATAACATCCTTCATCGAGAGACTTCAGCTAGTAAGCAGCACCCTCAGGAACTCTAACCCAGGTCTGTCCATCAGATGAATCTTAATAGAATGCCTCTGCCTGACTTTCACCCACGCAACATGTTTTAAGAGTGTGCCGGCCGATATCCTGGCAAAGAAGATACAGTAACTATGATCCTATATCCTGGCAAAGAAGATACAGTAACTATGAAACAAGGTCTCAGCTCTCAATTAGGTCATGTCCCAGCAGCCCCATTTTGGAGGAGTCCTGGGAGAAGACAGGAAAGAATTTCTCAAGTGTCCTCTCTTGGTTTTTCCACTTGGAGATTGGGGGACCCTATTATTCATCTCACAGAAGCGTGGTGAACACCAACATGAAGACAGATTACAGGTTTTTAACTACTACAAACAGCAGCTGAATTTTAGTCAATCAAAGAAAAGTGTTTTTCAATACAGTATTATAATCAGCATGTCTGCTAAACTCTTTCCTCCACAAATACAGACCTAGTTTTATTTCATAAAGAAAAAAAATCAAGGGAGGGGGTATTTCTCATTCAAGAATCCTAGCAAGTCTTTCATGATGAAGTAATTTTAGCTCATCTTGCTGTGCTAGCTCAAAAAAAAAAAAAAAATCATCTTAAGCTGTCAACTTGTTCTGTTTTGTTTTTTAAAGCTGTCCTGGTGCCAAAAAAGAAATAAAAGTAGGTGAGAGTACGAATCTCACCAGAAGCACACAAAATTATATGGGCTTCCTTCTTGGATCTCATTCTTAGATTTTTCTCTTGTTTGTTTCCTTCAGGGTTTAAAATCAAGAGTTAGGGAGTTTTGAGAAGGACGATCCTATTTTAAACAGTTAAAATCCCAACCTCATTTGCAGGGAGTTTCTTCACATTATCTGTCATTTTCTGGTCAATAAAGTACACTGGCAACATTTTCAATAGCAAAAAACTGGAAGGACAGAAACTAGAGAAAAAGTACGTGCCAAAAATTAGAGAAGAAAAACATGACTGATTACTTTTAATTTAGAAAAGTTTGACAAATGAGGATAAGGTCACAAGGGGAAAAAAAATCATGATATAAGTACTAACATAAGAACTCTCCAGTTAGGAAGGGAAAACCTTTGGATACATCCCATCAGATCAGAGATGTTAAGCAACACAATTCGGCAGGTCACCTTCCTGCATATGTGCTGTGCCTCTATTAACGTGACCTTATCAGATATGGTGCTCACTGATTACAGCACCATATATTAAAGATTTTTAAACAAATGAATAAAACAAATGCTGGTCATATTAATCTTGGTTCACTGCTTAGAACAGATCAAAGAAGCCTGTGGAGCACTGGGCCCTGAAGTGAAGTATTAGTCGCTCAGTCGAGTCTGACTCTTTCAAACCCCATGGACTGTAGCCTGCCAGGCTCCTCTGTCCGTGGAATTCTCCAGGCAAGAACACTGGAGTGGGTAGCCATTCCCTTCTCCAGGGCATCTTTCTGACCCAGGGATCAAACCCCGGGTTCTTCTGCGTTGCAGGCAGATTCTTTGCTAACCGAGCTACCAGGGAAGCCCTACCAATCCTGTGATGAGACCACAAGGGGCTATTAGCTTTCTTGAATTAGTACTGACCGGATGCTTTCCCCCTCAGGTCCAAGTTTCATGTTAATTTATTATAGTTGACCGAACGGTTACTGAGCTCCTATTTTGTGTAAGGCAGGGTCCTAAGCGCTGGAATTACAAAAACGTGTTTGACGCAGTTTCGCTGGGTAGGGAAGGAAATCCTAAAATGATAGTATCAATATACTGTGCTCAGTGCTCATAATAAAGGAATGCAAAGAGGAGCTGACTCAGCTGGGAAAAGGGCCTAGAAGATGTCACACCCTGAAGAAGAAGGTTTTCAGACAGACAGCTTTAACTACAGAGAATGGGAGAAAAGGTTTGCGAATCATATACTTAGTAAGAAAGGGCTTTCCTGGTGGCTCAGTTGGTAAAGAATCCACCTGCAATGCAGGAGACCACTTGTAACGCAGGAGACCCAAATTTGATCCTTGGGTCAGGAAGATCCCCCCGGAGAAGCAAATGGCAACGCCGCTCCAATATTCTTGCCTGGGAAATCCCATGGACAGACAAGTCTGACGGGCTACAATCCAATGGGTCACAAAGTCACACACTAGTGACTACACCTCCACCAAATAACTAACTTGTATCTAGAATATATAGTAACACTTAGAACTCAATAATAAAACAGAAATAATCCAATTTTAAAATGGGCAACAGATCTCCACAGACATTTTCTAAAAGAGGATATACAAATGGCTAACAAAGCACATGAAAGATGATTCAAAGTCAATCGCCATCAGGAAGATGCAAATCAAAAGCACAATGAGATATCACTTCACACTCACTAAGATGGCGATCATCAAAGATACCACAAGTGCTGGTGGGGGTTGGAGAAGTTGGAACCCTCATACACTGCTAGTAGAAATGTAAAATTGTACAGCCATTTTGGAACAAATCTGGCAGTTCCTCAAAGTTTGACACAGACTGAGAAAATCTACTCCTACGTATAAACCCAAGAGAAAACACATTTCCACACAAAAATGTATAGACAAATGGCTGTGGCAGTGTGACTCATAACAGCTGAAATGTGGAAATAACCTAAATGTCCTTCAATGGAACAGAAACACAAAATGAGCTATGGCTGCAAATTGGGGTGTTATTCATTCATAAACAGGAATGAAGTGAAGATTCACGCTTATACTGAAAATATAAGCTTAGTGAACAGAACTAGTCACTCAAGGAAAGTGTGATTACATAAATGTGAAATGTCCAAAAGAGATTAATCCATAGAAACAGAAAGCAGATTCATCGTTGACTAGAGAGCTGGAGGTGCTGGAGGAAATGGGAAGTGATGGCTAAGGGGTGCGGGATTTTTTTGGGGGGGAGGCGGTGATGAAAATGTTGTAAAAGTGACTGTAGTACTGTTAAAAAACAGTGAATACACTAAGCAGCATGGGTATATTGAATGAAATAAGACAGAGCTCAATAAAGCTGTTACATTAAAAAAGGTAGACTGCCATATCACAATTCCATGAAATTTTGGTTGAGACATTTCTGAAAATGATGACAGCGGTAACAACAAAATGACTCCTGCTATTTCCACACCCAGGGCTTTTTAGTGGTTTATCAAATTAGACACCATGGGGCACACACTTCAAAATGGTGTCTTCATCAAAGGACTCTTGCTTCAGTATTTTTACTTC